AAATAGAGACCTAACGTCTAGTACCAGTGTATAAGACCTGCTTTCTATCAAGTTTTAGCACAATATCCTTGGATGCATTCTTATTCAACTGGGTTAACATAAACTAGACTGGTCAAATCCCTGAGTTATTCACTGTGTATATGAATCTAACCTGGTGTTAAGTTACATCAGCGTCCTACTGCCCATATTATTCCCCAAAACCTTTCAACAACATCTTTGTCAAACAGTCATCGATTTGGTTCTGCATGTGATATATCAGTAAATTGTGTCTTTGCTATGGTACATGTACCTTTGTCCTACCATCCTATTTACACTTGTCCAAAGCTAAAAATCAACTGCAAATTACATTTTTCTAAGGGTCAAACTTACAGATTTCCATCACCCTTGTGATAGGTTTGTTTTATCAGCAAAGCAAAACAACTGCTCTCTCAAGATTAACGAATTGATTTTGTTTTTTTCATCATTAATTTCAGTCATCATCTAATTTTAGCATAAGGATGTAATAATTAGGTGAGATGCCTGTCAGCCTGCTTTTGCTGTAAAAAGAGCTGAGTGAAAATTAGCTTGCGAGCAGACTCACTTTTGTAAGTTTGAGGATAATTTTGGTGAGAGCCACCAGCACTTGTACTTGCAGAGGAGAAGAATGGAGTGAGAAAATTTTCCCCAAAAACTCATACAATTAGGCTGTGAGCTAAGTGAGAATCAACAAAAGAATGCTAACACATTCATTAAGAACTAGATTTTTTGGATGATTCCGTTCCTAAAAACTCTTAAAATAACATAAATTCTCTACATCTATCAGATTTTCTACCAAACTTGCATTATCTCTCTAAAACCAGGTCTTAATTAAAATACGTAGTCCGCCAGACTGGCTCTGTACTGTAGCTGCACATATCTGATTGCATACAACTTAATACTTTCATTAATTAATAATATTGATTATTAATTAATGCATGTTTACTTTAATGACACAAGGCCTGGTTTAAAAATTGGATTTCGCATGTGCCGAATCTAATGCAAATAAGCAAGAACATGAGACTATTTTTTCTCATTTGCATAATATTTGCACAAAGTGAAATCCAACATTTGAACCAGGCCATATACATCAGAACAACTGAAAAAAATATGTCAAATATAATTTTAAATATATATATTTTTTGGCAATTACATTGCATGCTTCGTCAATGCATTTCTTGAATTTGGGATTATAGTTTGAGTTTGTTTACTTAAGGATTAAAGATAGTTTAGGATGGAAGAGATTATCATACAGTACAAATAACACAAAATGTTATTGCATGACCGTGAGAACATAACGTGGGTCTTTTTAAATAATATTATACACATGGCTTGTTAATGAATATTAATTTTGATATATCTCTCATTTTCTGTACACTGATCAATAAGTGTAGTATAGTCCGGACATGATTACGTAAGGTAAATTAAATCGTGTATACACTGTAGAAGGCAGAGCTAATTAGGAGACACCACCCTGGATTAGTGCTGCCCAACAGTATTCCCTGTTGTCTTCTAGGCCACACCTGTCAAGGGACACAGGGGCTCACAGTAAGTCAAGACATGAGGAAAGTAAAGCAAGCGTTCAAAGAGAATTTCTTTTTGCATGTCTCAACTAACTGACAGCCCATTCTAAGCTAACATTATTAAAGAAAATTTCTCAGATAGCATGGCCTCTAGACTAGACTAACTTAACACTTTCACAAAATTATATTATGTTAAAATTTTACATGTAAAACTGTACGATTGTTTTTATACTGATTAACAATGTGGAATTCAGAGGGTGTGGGGGACAAGAGTACCAGTAATAATATTGAACCTAATAACTTACATTGTATGACGCAGAGCACATTGACCATGCTTCCACAGTTTATGCTTGCAGAAGCATGATGTCACCAAAAAGACACATGAATGATTTAAGCGGAGATAAGGTTTATATTTGGGAGAGAATGAAAATTCTCTCAACCAGCTTTCATTTATAGATATAACCACTTAATCTGTGAAAATCCAATTTGAACTGACTTATGGTCTGAAAGAAGAAAGCTCTCGTAAGTGACCAATTTTGCGATAAATACCTGACGGGTCTTACAGCTGTATGCCTTTGTTTTTTAAATTCCCATAATTGACCACTCAGTCAACACATATATTGAATATAAAGGCATTTTTGTTGTTATCATAATTAAGGGTAATAGGTGTACTGATGCAGTAGTAACATAAGCAGCAATGGTTCATTGACTTTTGGGCATGCATGTGAACTTTCCACACAAATATTTAAAAAAACCTTTCCAATATACCATATTAATTGACAGCATATGCTAAAAACTCAGCTTAAATTTCTCAAAAGCAACTTTCCTTAATAGCTTTGACAAAGTGGTTAGTTATAAGACTCCATTCTATTACATGCAAATGACATCTCTAGTTGTAACAATCTCTAGTTGTGACCACTGTTTCACTGTATGTCACTTACGTATGTTTTGACTTTAATACTATTCTGTTTCTGAGTGTTGCTATTTGTGTTTAGATGTACTTATAGAGGACACACTGATTACATAATCACTTCTACACTACATTCCATTATACCCCCCAAATAGTGAAGCAAGCAGAATGCCAGTGCATGTGAAAATCCCAGCTCATGAACGTTAACTTCCACACAGCTGGTGATTTTGATGCACAATCTTACAGTAATATTAGACAAGTTGATTACATACATTGTATTAATCACTTCTAGACTGTGAGTTCATGTCCTATCCACAGTGATACAACAAAGTGCATAATGGTTACACACTTGATATACCTTAAATTTATAAATACCAAAAAAAAACAACACAATGATAACATAAAAGGAGAAAGGATGTTAGAATTTAGGACATGTGCCTTCAATTATGTTGAACAACAAAGTAAGGTGAGCGCCACGAAGGTGCCACTTAGTATAGCTTTCATGCAAATGGTCACGCTTTAGGATTTCATCCTCAGACTCAAATATTACAACCACCTTTTACAATTCACATGAACTTGTAGAAACACAGTACGCAGGGTGCAAAGAAAGTCAGTTTTACAGCCTGCCATTTTGGGCAAGCTGTAGCTAGCCACAAAAACCTTTTTTGATTAGCAGGACATATTGATTACAATCCTTCTGTAATTTCAATTTCCCCAAAAAATTCACTTGCCCATTGGGCAAGTTAAGAGCAGAATTCACTAGCCCGAAACCAAAATCCACTAGCCCCGGGCTATTGGACACGACTTTCTTTTCATGCTGAGTCTTTCTTTTCACGCTGAGTACGTCACCCTAGGTGGCAATTTTTACACACACTATGCTTGCTCCATTATTCACTATTTTAACATAATCCAAAACACTCCATTCTGAAAATCACAGGATTTGTTTGTGTTTACATATTATGTGAAAATAATAATTACTATCATATGTCCATCATAAGAGGTAACCTAAGCTAGCTTGTTGTGACACACAGCTAACTACTAAACTACACTGTATACTGTACACAGTTTAACATCAAATGTCATGGATGTGAGCTCGGGCACAACACTCTGTAGATTCTTCCTTGGATTTCTTTGTTGCTTGTATTTCTCCGCTGCATTTGCTAAGAGTTCAGAAGGTTTTACTTTCCAATCTTATTTTATACAAATCTCATTTTTACTCCTTTAATAGTGTTTACAGTAAGGGCACCCAATGAGAATATACTTCAAAACCACTTAAACATAGCATTGTTAAACATATTTTAGGATTTACACGGTAGATATAAGCATATTTTTATCCCCGAAAAATTTTTCATCAGTTCGGATTTCCTAGCTGAAAGTCTAATGATCCGAAAATTATAGGGATCAAAACTTCGAAAATTTCAACCAAAAGGCTCCCGACAATTAATTCTAAGTGACCTTTTTAGGGTAAAAATCCGTTAAAAATGGGCAATTATACCATTTTTTAGACGTTCGAAAAATCCTAGGAGAGGTAGGCAAGCAACAAATGTTCTGAAAATTTTAGATCTCAAACCGTCATGGGAACAGATATTTTCCGAAAATTGACGTTGGGTGCCCCTGAGTGTTACTGAAATACATGTACTTATTGTTATTTACTCAACTATTAAGTTTTTTTCGCGGTACACCTCAGTATACATACATGTATTTCAGGCATCTGTTATTAAATTGATCCTGTAAAAGGTCTGATCGCCTAACAATCCTGTATTGTCACACAGAATTCTGAGTTATAGTCAGCTCTATAACACTTGTGAATAGATCTGTTGGTAAATAAGCAATATTTGCTTACAGCTGCAGTACACTTAATTACTCATTATATTTCATAGGTTTTCAGTTCAACTGAGTTGTATGTAGTTTGCAGATTGTAGAGATCAAAACAAATTAGACAAAGATTTCTGTGTAACTAGCACAGAGCACCAACCAACTGTGTTGTGCAACATATCTGTTCACAGGAGCAAATATTGCCTAGAGATTTCTATAGCTAGCAGGTATGAACGATTTTTGACGCTGATCTTATAAACTTCCTACCATCTTCTGAACTTAATTTTTTCAGAAAAATTCTCACTGTCATAAAGCTATAGATTGTGCATCTTTCTAAAATTTCGAGAAAATGATCCGGAAGCTCTTGTAATTTTGAAAACGCTCAAGTTGCCGTAGGATGACGAGTGTGGCTTAGAAGGCATTTCTAGAAATCTGAAATTATTTTGGATAGCCTAAAATTGGTTTCAATGTATTATTTTGGACGAAACCATCATTGGATGCCCCTGAAATAGCCCTCCTAAATCCTGGTGATGAAAATGCCAACGATTTGTTATTGATTCTTTGTCTCCACAGCTCCAACAGCCACTCTCACGTCGGCGACAAATGCCGGTGTTGAGAGAAACACTGCACAGTTCGTATGTAAAGTTACTGGAACACCCACACCTAACATTACATGGTACAAGGATAACAAGCGTCTCGACGACAGTAGACGCTATTTTTATATCAAGTATCCAATCATGAATGGGAATGGTGAGCTGTTGCGTTTTCTAACTCTCCGTTCTTCAAGGCATGAAGGAAATTACTCCTGCAGGGCTACAAATACGATGGGCTCTTCGACTTCAAAACAAGCTTTTTTACAAGTTTATAGAAGAAGAGGAGGTAAGTCAAGTGGAAGTGGATTTTAATTCAAATAATTATGAAACTGACTATGGAAAATTTTATTAGTTGCGTTCACGCGAAGTCCATTTTGTGCTGTACATCCCTCAAAGAAAAGTATGATCCTATTCCTACAAGTTCAGAATTTTTTTGTTTTTAAGTTAAACAGTTCGTCAAAAACAGTTGACTGGTCCATGGAGTTGGGGGTCAATGTTTTGTCCACCTGTGATCAGGCGTTTGCGAAGAGAGAGACATAAAAAGAGAATCGACGCTAAATGTTCTGTATTCCACTGAAAAAAATCCCACTGGATTTTAGGGATTTTCATACAAGTGTAAAAAATGTTTTTGTACTGTGAGCACTTACCTGTTAGTTTAAAACTGCCCAGTCTTCAAGAAAGATCAAGCAAATCTGGCCTGTAAACTTCCTTGTCCAAGAGTAGATTTTTGGTGTTCTATGAAAATGGCAGTTTCTTGAAATACCGCTGATCGTTTTCTTCGTGGCGTTCGTGCGCTGAGCACACACAAGCAATTTAGGAGACCACGTATTAAAAATAAAGAGCAATTGCCGATTTACAAGCCACCGCGAAGAATTTTAACTTTTGGTCGGTTCCGACAAATAAACTTTAGATACTACTTGTTTATTTCTAATCTGTAAAAGTTACCTTTTTAATCTAATCCAATAGCAACCAAAGAATTCACTTCTTCTACAGACATTTTTCTCATTGTTTGTCGCATATATTTCCATCCTCTGTTTCGTGACTTTTCCACAGACGGTATGTAAGTTACTTTCTGCGGGTTCAATATAGCTATAGTGTTCTTAAAACTGCATCAACTTGATTTTTCTTTTCTTTCTTACATTTCTCAGACTTTTGGATTTTCTTAGTGTTTTTTTCTATCTGCTTAAGTTTACGTTAGAGTCGGATTTTGTTTGATGATATGTGATACAGAAAAACTTTTTCTCGACCATTCTAGGGAGTAAGTTTTTTACGTGTTGCCTCTTTTAATACGTGTCGAATGATGGAAAAAAAAAACGCCAGGTTTTTGTTAAAACCATCACACGTTTTAGTCCATTTCAAGATCAGATGAGCGCCCGATTAAATGATGCTATCTCAAGCCTGCTTTCTCCTATTTTTTCAAAAACAAACAGTTTTGTTTTAGCTGTTTGCTTTCCCAGCCCACCAAGTTGGTGTCAATTTAAGTACACATCCAGAGTTCAAAATAATAATACTAAAAAAGAGAGAAAGAGAAACGAACGAACTAACCAATAAAAAGAAATTATACAACTCTACATGCGGCTTGCTGCTCGTTTCGATCCGTTTAGAGCACACTGCAGAGGTGTTGCTTGTTATCAGGGAGAAGAAAGTTACATTAAATACAGGATCAATTACCTCAAACACATTTTACCGTGTGCCTAACAGGAAACTGATAAGTGCAGTCTTGTTTAAAGTTGCTTTGATTTTAGTACAAATATTTGTGAAGACTGCACCGATTGTTCCATTGTTTCTGCTGTGGAGTGTTTTCGACCCCTAAAGATTAAAGGTTATTTTAGTGATACTGCAAAGTAAGCAAAGAAGACAGTTCTTAGACTTCGCATTTCATTAATTGTTTGTCATTGTAAGAGAGATGTGATTTTTAATGAGTGGCGCGCATAGTAAAATCAACAGAAATGCACGCACCTTCGTAAGTGCAAAACCAGCTTAGAAGGCATAAGTTCACCCCTTTATTTAACCCTTAACACTAATATGAAAATTAGAGAAAGACGTCTTCAATTTCCTGTTGTAAAAACGAACAGCAAAGTGCAAACGTACTTCTCGAGAGGTTTCGTTTTAATGGTAACACCATAGGATTTCATCCACAGAATGAATAGTTGCAAAAAGAATTTTTACCTCCACGCTGAAATTTAGTTACACTGCTTAGAAGGGGTGTTTTTTTCCAGACGTAGTTTTTAATATGAAGTCGTTCGCGTTGCTGACATTCGCGTACCCGTTGTCTTAATTGCGTTCCTGTCTCAGGTAAACTTCAGTGGAAGTGTTTTCTGAGTGCGTTATTGCAAAATTTCTTTTCATGCAGTATTTATTTTGTTTCTTAGCTACCGTGGATCACACTTTTCTCCTAATCTTTTGAGCCTCATTTCAGACAGATATTGTTTGAAGAAAGTCCACCTCCCAAGAGATAAGCTTCACTGTATTGTGAAACTCTTACAAATTCTACTCCGTGATTTGTTTTACCCCTTCTGGCATGACACATCTACATTAAAAACTTACTGTAAGAAAATCTGTCATTAGAATTTTCGAGTCTGTGGATGAATTGCAATAGCTTCTCTCATGAAACATCTTCCGGCAGAACTTTTGCATGCGGCTATCTATTTCCAGCTCAGGGGCACCCAACGAGAATAAGGTTCAAAACAACTTAAACATAGCATTATTAAACGTATTCTAGTACTTAAACGATAGATATAGGAATATTTTTATCCCCTAGCTGAAAGTCTAGTGATCCGAAAATTATAGGCATCAAAACTTACCTTTTCGAAATTTTTAGCCAGAAAAATGGCTATCGAAAATTCTAGGTGATCTTTTCAGCGTAAAATCCGTTAAAAAGGGCAGTTATACCACGTTTTAGATGTTCGAAAATCCTAGGAGAGGCAGGCAAGCAAATGTTCCGAAAATTGTAGATCTCAAATCGTCTTCCGAACAGATATTTTCCGAAAATTGACGTTGGGTGCCCCTGCCAGCTGGGATACATGTATAACAAAAAGCACTTTTTATGGAATGTTTTGATATCAAATATTGGATTCGTTTGCCTCGTTTTTTCTGTCTTTGAGCAAAGAAAACGATAAAAAAGTTCTAGCGGATAAATGCGACAATCAATGCTGTAAATGAATAGACCCAAAATACTCTAACGCTCTGCGGGGTGCTCTGGCGGTGGGGCGAAAAATGGGGAGTACCATAGCGCCCCAGAGAGCTTGAAAGCTGCTGCATTTGATTAAACGCAGTTTAATTTGTAATCATGAAGAATCCAAAAAGCCTTGTTCTCATTATTATCTCATTCTGTTAGCACCCTGGTGCGTTTATTCACAGATATGATGAGATAAATATGCGCGCATAACACGTGCTTCACGTGCTATCCACCAGGCAGCACATGCTTTGCATTAGGCGTTGCTTCAGCTTGTAATAAACGTGCTGTGGCATCGATTGATGCACCTGCTGCGCGTGCCGTGATGTAAAGAAATGTAGCTTGTGCCAGGCTCTAAGATACAACAGCAACCTCACATACATATTTGACCCGCAAAGTAGCACACATAGAATATTAATTTATATTATTTACATAAATATATACTAAAGTTAACAGAGGGTTGGAAACGAGAAAAAAAAAGAAGAAAAGATTATGATTTTATGTGAAACGGAAATAGATATAACGCAGACTTCAAAGCTGTTTAAATCTAGAGGTAATAGTAAGCGTGTCAACATAACCATCCTCAAACAATAGAATATCTAAAAGGTGTCGATGAATTGCCCCCTTAAATTTATGTTTTGATACGCCTTACAAGCAAGAGAAAATAGGACGCGCGTAATCTGGGAAAGCGGGCTTGGGTTTCGCGTGCAGTAACTTCACAAAGAAAAATAAGAGACTGCTCGCAGTCCATAGATAGGAGAGCGATTGGAACGGGCGAGTCGCGCGCCGGAATCATCTTTCGTGTGGGGACGCCTCGGGGAAGGGGGAGGTGGGCAGTATACCGCGCGTTCGTGTTTTCTTTGTGGAGGTTTCTATCTAGGATGTGAAGCTAACATAACAACATCATATGAAAATTAACAGCTACACTATACTTTACCTCGTAAATAGTACTGCGTACCCTTTGGGGGTAGCGCAAAAGGTGAGCTGCGCACGGGACGGCCGAGCAAAAGATGCATTTTTCACGATTCTTCGGTGTGAATCTATTACCGTTCAGAATTCGTCCAAGGCTAACATTTTGATCTTTTTCTTGCAGCGTCCTCAAATGTGCCGGAAGGATTTCCAAAAGTAAAACGACATCCATCTCGTCAAGTAAAATATGTTGGAGGGAAGGCGGTGTTCAATTGTACTGCGGACGGTGATCCTGATCCTGCCATCACTTGGTTACGGGGATATGTCCCTCTAAATTCCTCAGATCCTAGATACACATCACCAAGTAGTGGAGTACTGGAGATAAGTGATCTTAAGTTGGAGGACACGGGGAAAATCCAGTGTATAGCTACAAACAGACTAGGATGGTACTACTCTCGGAAGACCGATCTAGTTGTCGAAGGTTTGTGTCGATTCATTAGAGTGGTTTAGCAACGACGAGAGGACAAAAACGAGAACGTCAGAAAAGCAATAGGTTTAGGCTATGCCCACAGGAATTCGGACATTTTGGAAACCGCATATTTTTTATCTACATTCATGTGGACGGTGCCTTAAACCGCTCTGGAGAGCGGTTTCAAATCAATGCGATTTCGGCGTCTGGATTCGCTGGTTTCGTGTAGTCGGAAGGTTGACGGAAGGCCGATTCGTGTAAAAAAAAGTAAAAGAAATATCCGGATTTGTGTGGGCTGGGCCTTAGATAAGCAAAACAACAACTTTGCACGTGCAGCGCACTTTTTGATTCATTTCTTTGTCTTCACTGCATGACCACGTCCTTGTGTGGCGTTTTATGCAGGACGTAAACACACGACGAAGAATTTTTCTTTCTCTTTCTGATCTGGGATAGGGTCCCCGATAATCAACTCCGCGAAAATTCACCTACATTTAACATGTTAAGCGAGATGAAACAAAAGCGAAATTGTCTGAAAAAATTGCGAATTCATTTTTAACGCTAACGTTCTTTCTATTATTATTCGTGCATAATAAAGGTCGCTGTCAAAAGAAGTGTTCATGCTTTTCTTAAATTGAACGTCATTTTCCAAAGGAAGCAATAGCTTATCGACCACGTGATCGTGCATCACGTGATCATTACCAAACGCCGTATACTGATGGTAGACCCAGGGCCCCATTCACCTATAGGATAAAGCTTTGCTGTTCCATAACTCGTTAGAAGGATTTACTTCAGGATTGTAACAGTTAAATCAAAAGTAAGACATTCTACAGTTTGTCAGTAAATTCCATGTCCATGTTAAGATTTGTACAATTTCTCCGTATTCCTGTCGAAAAATAATAATTATGACTCAAGAAACTTGATTTATCGAGTTTATTTTGTGACTATAAGTAATGATGTTTCTTTCCCTTTAGTCAAAAATGTTCCGCCAGTTATTACCAATCATCCTCGACCAATCACAATCAATCCCGACACAGACCTTTCTTTATACTGCACGGCAAAAGGCTATCCAAAACCGGACATCAGTTGGCGACGCGATGGCAATTTCATCCGGGAAGCACGCAGTAGCTACGGTGAGACGTTGTTTGTTCCAAAAGTCAAGACATCTGGAAACTATACTTGCATAGCATCGAACGACGCAGGAGAAGTGAAATCTTCAGCGTACGTCACTGTTCGACGTAAGTTTTAAAAAGAGGATAACGTCATTAGTTAAGTGGTCATACAAACATCGAAAAAATAATATTTCCCTAGTACTGCTCAAGAGTGGAGTGGAGGTTGTGTTTGAATGGTCACACCACAGGGTTTCACCCACAGACTCAAACGTTAGAACCACCTTGTACAGCAGAATAAACAGTGCCACAGGAAAGTACTGCTCAGTAGTTTTCATTGGAATTGTCATACCTAAGGACTTCATCCACATAGTCATAAGTTAGAAACATCATGTACAACATAATAAACAGTACCACAGGAAAGTACTGCTCAGTAGCTTTCATTTGAATGGTCACACTCCAGGATTTCATCCACAGACTCAAAAGTTAGAACCACCTTGAACAGCATAATAAACAGCACTACAGGAAAGCGCATGTACTACTCAACGGTTTTCATTTGAATGGTCAAACTTTAGGATTTCATCCACACACTCAGAAGTTAGAATTAAGCGAAATGAACTTTAACTTTGAGCAAAGAAAGGTGCTATGAATTGTGAAAATACTAATGAAGAGGTTACATTTGAATTATCGCACATCTGATTTCATCCAGACCCAAAAGTCACAACTTTTTTCTACGTCTAATGAGAATCAAGGAAATGATGTAGTTACAGTGGAACCTCGATTTAACGAAGAGCCAAGGGATTGACAAAATTTATTCGCTATAACGAGGTTTCGTTATAGGCTATAAAAGTTATTTGCCTGTTTCAAACCAATGAGGATTAGTTTCGTAACAGCCAGAAAAAGCACACAAAGCTTTACAGAATGCCAAATTTTGGTGTTAATCGATAAAAATGTTAAAGACGTTACAGCCAGTCAAAAACGTGAAAATTCATTTATAGACACGTTAAGGAGTTTTAATGGCCGTATCTCGTTGATGATCGGCCCAGTTAAATCCAAACTTGAGGATTTTGTAAAGCTTGGTGAGTTCTTACTGACTTTTTAGGTGTTGTTTTGATAATCCAATTCGCCATTTAAGAAACGAGTGAAAAACTGGCCTGGTTACTTTTCGCCAAGACTTCCGCGACTGTTACTGAGAACAGCGAAAAAATTGGCCAATAGCGGACCGGCGCGTCCCCATCGACATCCCAGAAGTCTTTGCAAAAATTAACTCGGCCGATTTTCCTTCTCGTTTTAAAGTGGCGAATCCCATTATGCAAACTCGTCCTAGTCCCTCTCGTTTTGAAACTAGGCAATGAAAAAATGATTTGGGGGCCTTTTTTTTACAGCGATACCATTCCCTCCGACTGCACCTGCTGCTTCTGACGAGACACCTGATCAGGCCACTGTGACATGGCAGTCGGGTGGCGGACCTGCTGCAGACAACTTTACTCTTTATTACCGAGCTAAGACTGTCATTGAATGGAACGTGCTCAAGGGAATCAAAGATCGTACAGTGACCTTGCAAGGTCTTAAGACTTACACGACATATCTTTGTCGTGTTTTCGCTGTGAACGGGGCAGGAATAAGCAGGCCGAGTCCATTGTCTGAGTTCACTACTGCTGAAAAAGGTGTTTATTTTTTTTATTTTATCAATAATATGAATATGAAAGTTATTCAGCGGATTAAACAGTATAAAAAAGCTGTATCATAGCACGTCATGGCGCAAGGGCTTGGTTTTATCAAGCGAGTTGATGAAGTGAATAAACTATTATTTAAGAGGTGCAAAGCCTGACGTTCTCAGCCATACCCATTATTATTGCCATTCTGTAAAGGCGACGCCAATGAAAACGTCGCAGAAAAATTGACTTGTTTTCGCATCCTTTCAAACTTGTTTGCGATTATTCCAAGTCGCTCAGTTACTTAAAAGAAGGGAACATTGGCTTAAGTAGAAGGAATGGGACTGTGTCCTAACGATGACGATGACGATGATGATGGTGGTGTTTGTTACGATGCTGACAAGGATGTGGATGATGGTAGTGATGGCTCTAATAATAATGCTAATGATAACGGTAATGATGAGAATGGTAATGATGATGATGATGATGATGATGATTATGATGATGAAAATTCTTCTCGTGTAACTTCACAGCTCTTTTTTTCTTACAGCTCCCGGAGGTCCCCCGCGAAATATCCGGGCCTGGGGCATCTCCGATACTTCATTCGGAGCGTCATGGCTGCCTCCTCTAGAGCTCAATGGCAGGCTCGAAATGTACCATTTGATCTACTCCACGGACCTTGAAAAAGACTACAGTCAGTGGCGATTTAAACCTGAGGCTAGCAATTATACTGTCGTCGAAGGACTGAAACCATTCACCACCTACTATTTTAGAATGGTGGCCTACACAAGAGTGGGTCGTGGCCCTCCCACGGAAATGTTTGTGGTGAAAACCGGGAAAGGAGGTTAGTATTAAGAGCGAAGGTATCCTGCAACCTTAACGAAATTCATTCTCTGATTCAAAAGATACAATGGACGGAAACCTGTAGCTTGACTATCCAACTGAAACGTCTTTAACAAGACGTTTGCGGCCTATTTTTGGTTTCAGGCTTTGTTTCGGAACTTTTTTGGATTTTCATTAAACATTTGAAAATCTTTTTTCTTTCTTTCTGCAGCTCCGGGTCCAGCTGAAAATGTCGCTGTTACAGTGCTTTCACCAACTTCAATACAAGTCACGTGGCAGCCCCCACACTACAAGGGGAGCGGCATATTTGGTTACAAGATTCATTATAACAAGTCCTCTTCGGAAATAGATAAGACTATTGACGTAATGGACACTGTCTTAGGTTACGTGATTAGAGATCTCAGACCAAACAGGCATTATAAGGTCCAAGTTGCAGTCAAGTCAGACGTCCATATTGGGCCACTGTCGTTCGCCAAGGTCGTGCAAACATTGGAAGCCGGTAAGTATGCAGGGCAACATTTCAATGCCATTTACCTGTCCCATTTGTATCGCAGTGCAAGCATCCTTGTATGTATAAATTATAAACACCAAGTAGGAATGTTTCGATCGATATGCAGACTCCCGCCGTGTATTTAACAACTGTGATGTGTCCTGGTTATAGGCGACATACTGATGGAGGGTAACCCTACGATGGACTTCCATCCCGTCCTGTGGGGAGTAGCAATACCCCTAGGCATGCTTCATGCCAAGGCACCCGGTATAAGCTCCGGCCGTTTGGGTCTTTGGCTTGCGTGCGCCTTTACCCCTATTATATGTGACAGTCTGCTTACAAAATAAATCTCTCTTTCGAACGCTTGCTAAAACGTCTCGAACGATAAATAGGCTGATTTAGCAACAGAACAGGAACGTCAGTTGACGACGGCGCGGACGACGGCGCGCGCAAATCAAACAACTAGCTTGACCAATGGCAGAGCGGTAAATTGATTACCGAAAGTCGTGTTTAGTCCTTTCCGCACGCTTTCCCGTCGTCAACTGACGTTCCCGTCCTGTTGCTATATCAGCCTTTTAATTCTCTGAGATCGTTAAAGGTCGTGAAATTTAAAGGGTATTTAATGGTACTTGTATGCGATATCCAAACGTCCTAAATAAGTTTTCTTTTCTTGAAAAGTTTGAGAAATTGTATTTAACCAACATTGCTTGTCAATCTTTTTTTTTTTTCTAGCTCCAAGTGCCGCTCCCATGAACATTCAAGGTAAAGCTCTTTCGTCCACCAGCCTTCTTATCAGCTGGGATCCACCACCCCTGGACCATCGCAATGGACCAATTACAAACTATACAATCAAGTACAGAATAAAAGGAGATCGCGCAAGGTACAATCTACAGTGTCTACTGTTAACGCTTTCACTGCCAAATGTGGCCAAAGGCAAATTTCGACCAAATTTCCAAATTTCATTTTCTAAAGTTTTGACAAACAAATAGCATATGTAAGTACAGGTAGAGAGCTTTCATTTGAATGGTCACATCATAGGATTTCGTCTGCAGACTCAAAAGTAAGACTCGTCTTACAAAACTCCATCAAACACTCTGGCAGTGAAGGGGTTAAAGAGGCTATGCTATGTCACGGGGATATTGCTCTTTTTGGCCAATTTCTGTGCTTAAGTCAGTACTTAATGCCTTTTGCCATACGCAAAATGTTCCTCCAGAGTAGAGTTATGAAGAAGATATTGAACAAATTTCGTCAGTGAACACTTATGATGATGATTTTTTGGGGATTTTTTCAGGCATAGCGTTAAAACTTTTAAAAGTTGGCTCAATTTTTTCATGTTTCAAATTCAAAAGGTGCGAAGACACGTTTTAGCTTTTTAAAAAGATAGCAAATAAGGTAATCGCTAGCCAAATAAGAACAAGCCTGCGAGTACATCTGCCTCGCGAGAGAGACATGTCCCCCCTCGCGGCTGCCGCATTTGTAGGCTGGATAAGAACTGGCCATGGAGATCTGCCTTATTTTCCGCTTTACTAACGCCATACAAGGTTGTTGTTATTCTAACGAAGGAATACCGCCCAGCAACTTCAAAACGCAACTGAAGGAATTGCAAATGTCATTTAAAACCTTTTTTCAGTAACGTGGTGGTACTAACGGATTTTCTCGCTAAACATTGCTCGTTTTATTCCTTCTTTTCTTCCAGTTTTGTGAGCGTTGACGGCGCTAAGACATCAATTCGTCTTCATCACTTAAGAAAGTATACTACTTACATGCTGTGGGTTTCGGCAAGTACTTCCGTTGGAGAAGGGCCTATGTCTGAGAAACACTCTTACACTACTGCGGAGGATGGTAAGACTTCTTTTCCACTTTTTAACTCCTTTTTAATTTTCGGAGGGGTGGGGTTGGGTGGGGAACATGAAGAGGATTGCTACCCTTAAAAAAACTATTTGCTGTTTTCAGCGGAAAAGAGACAGTTACCCGGAGGGAAGGGGGGGGCGGTGGTGTGGGGGCTAGTCCTTATATAATCCATACAGGTACATGTATGTGCCACCCCCCACCCCAAAGGGTATGGTTTTTGCGCCGTCTTAGTCTGAAAACAGGTCCAGACTTTGCCCATTTTGGTCTGGAATCGGGTATGGTTTTCCTGGAAACTACGGGAGTGTATGAACTTATTTATCGTTTCAATTCCAAATGAATAAGAACTGAAGTGATGAGAAATATTCGTCAACGTGGGTTTTAAGACATCTTTGTTGTTGGCTTTCTAATCTAAGTAATGACATTATTTCTTAGAGGCCAGGTCTGAAAACGGGTCTGAAAAATTACATATTTTGATCTGAAATAGGGTGAGGATTGGGAGAACCGGGCGGCACACCCCCACCAAGAATTCCCAGGTGTACCCCCCGGAGACAGTTAATCTGTTTCGTACGTGTTTTCAGTGTAAGGTATAAGGAGAGCAAGGCGCACTAGTTATTTTGCATCGCCTTTCTTATATTTGTGCTAATTGCACCTTCAAATGTCCAGTGGCACGTTCAACATTATTCTAGGAATTTGCGTAGAAAAATCTGTCTTGACTGCTCTTGAGACTCAAGTACATTATGCCATGCCAACACGTATCCTCCGAATAACAAAAGTCCCTTGTCTTTGCTAATTTGATTAAGACGAAGTCGATGGATTACGTTTAGTAAAACTCAAGGACGCTGTTAACCTTGAACCCTCTCAAAAGTCAGTCTTTGAGAGACAAAAAACAGTTTTAACTAAGTCTGTTGTTGAATTCCCTATGGTGTTCCATTCGAAACCAACCACTTCAGTTTTGGCTTCACTTGATGCTATTTCGTTTTTAAGTATTTTTTAAAAAAGAAATTTTTTTTACACATTTACATTTTTGTACGTGGGCATTTTCTTGTAGACTTCCTTTTTAACATTTAAGGAGTGAAAGAGTTTAGCGTCATTGGTGTTCAGCATTTTATTTCTAAGTATGCAAGTTGAGCTCATTGCCCCAGCTGTTAATTCAGATTTTGTCTTTGGAGAATTTTGGTTGTCTCGCCACACTTTTCCCGTTGATGCCTCACGAGTCCTATTTCAACTTTATTTCTAGTAAACTTGCCAAGTCAATTAAAGTCAAAATAGGGGAAGTTAGATTCTGTTATTGGAAATTAACTAAAGAGATAGTCTGAGCATTGTCCAAAATGCAGTTGATCTTGTCGAGGTTTTTTTACCTCAAAATTCTTTTCATCCTTTTAAGAACATTCTGAGACGAGCCTGCGGAAGGAAGTTGAGAAATTTATCAAAAAACCACCACAGTTAAATTTGTTGTGGTCATGAAACCAAAACCTGTCTGTTTTATTTTTCTCATACTGTAGCCAGCTGGCCCCAATTTCATAAAAGGCGAATGATGCTATCCATTGGATAATCTCTATCCTTTGGATACACAATTGTTTCCCTGATACTTAACTGCTAGTCCGGCGGGACCGCTAGAAAGTGCAATGGTTTATCCCTTCCTCGTACCCAGATGTCTCTCTTTCTCGATGAAAATTTGCACACAAAGAAAGGCGGGAAGGAGTAAACGGGCGAGACGTGCCTCACTGACCTCTCTTCTTTCTTCGTCCCATGGTCCCTTGCGCTTTGTCACCAGTACCTTCCTTTCGCGTTCATCTCTAAGTGAAAATGATGCGCCTGAGGTGAACACTATCCTGAAGCATTGCCGGAATCTGATCATTTATAATCTGTTTCTTTCCAGTCCCCAGCGGTGCGCCGCGTCAGCCAAGTGCCAGAGTCGTAAATTCTTCTGCAATTGTTGTCCGCTGGTCTCCCCCATTGCAGAAGGATCAGGCTGGCCGTCTCGAAGGTTACGTGGTATATTATCTGAAGGTCGACGACCTTGGTAACCAGCTTTACCCGCGTCCTGATTTACAAATCGCTCACACGGCGAGGGGTGACTTGGTATGATTGTTAATGTTATTATACATTGTGCGTACTGTCCGTCTTCTCATTTATTAAGAACTAAACTGCGAAAGAGTCGGGTTTTTGTTCAAAAATGTTTTTCAAGCCGGTCGTCCCGCATGACTGAATTTTCGCGTGAAGCGCGCGACTTTTACAAGCCCTATAAGCTTGTGAGGCGCGAAAAAAACCGCGTCTCTCTCCAGTTTCACTGACTTTTTTTCACCCTCGCTCCAGGATGTTTGTTTGACCACTCCTGCTTCGTTGACCGACGAAAAAATACGGGCTGTTTTGCAGTCTAGTTAAGGGGCTACTGTTAAGTTTGGAAATCAGAGCCTCTCTCAGATAAGGTAGTTATCTGCTATCTGCTAGTTAGTATTCCTTTCTAGGTTTTGCGCTCACTGCATGATTTCTAATAATATTGACAAGCTGTAACTGTGTTCCGTGGGACGGTATTCCGGATATCCAAAAATCTCATCCCATAATTGTTCACAATCAATTCCATTTAGATTCGCATATTTTGTTCAGTGCGCTGTTGTGTTTTCCACGTGATCTGATTCCAGACTCTTCACTTTATCAACAGTCTGTGTCATTACACTCATCTTTTCGATCATTCGAAATGCCCATGCTTTGACTGGACGTCCGTGGCGTGGCTTTCTTATTGATTCTTTTATTTAACTTTTTTTTCATTGCGCTTATTTCATTAACGATTTTCTTGTATCCACTGTACAGGCGATAGTACTGACTGGTCTCCAACCAGATCAAACTTACCAGATCCGAGTAGCAGCGTTGACAAGAAAAGGAGACGGACCACAAAGTAATCCCGTACTTGCCAAAACAAAGCCTAAACTTCCAAACCCGCCACACATGTATAATATGCCCTCCTCTTCCCCCTCGGAGGTGATCATACGCTGGAAGACTGTGGCTAGAGATATTTTGTCGTTTAAGCTGCGATACGCCAAGTCATTACGGCGAATGCGCGCTGGAGATCAAGCTAATTTGAAGATGAAAGAAATGACTTTTCTTGCTCGCACAAGTAACCACATATTCAAGGGATTAGGTGAGTTTTACATGTTTAGTCTTAAGAGTCTTAAGTTACTCACCGTTTTCCAAAAGATATTTTCATTATTTTGAGTATCTTTTAACGGGGCTATGTCATGCTATTTGCTAAATTTTTTAAAACTTAACCCTTTAAGTCCCAATATCAACATACAAATTCTCCAAACTGGTCTCCATACATTTCCTTTAAGAATTGGTTGAGAGAATTTAATATAAGATCAAGGCATTTTCTCTTTGGTAATCTTTGCTAATTCTCATAACCTTATCTCTTGGCAATGTAAGTGGATTGTTAGGAGAAAATTGTTGTTGGTCACTATTGGGACTTCAAGGGTTAAACGTGTCTTTGCATCAACTGAATTCCAAAATTAATGGTCCAGGTTGTTTATTCAGGGGCGGATCCAGGGGGGGGGTGCAGGGGGGTGCCCCCCCCAAGATGACCTGTGGTTTTCTGATACAACTGGTATTCTGCAAAAAAAAAAACTGTGTGGTTTATTGGTGTTGAAGTACAGCAAGAGACGAGTGCACCCCCTCCTAAAAAAAATCCTGGATCCGCCCCTGTTATTAGAGACTTTTAGATTTGAAGACGAGGTCGACCACGAGTACGAGATTTGACTTAAAGTTATTTGCGTATTTTCAAAATATAGACTCCCCGGAAAGCTTCATTTTACCATTTTTCACTAGAAACGTTAGCATTGTTATCTTTAGTGAAGAAGGTTACGCGCTTTCCCGATCGAAAAATGATAAAACTTCTAACATTTCATAAGTTGTTCCCGCCACTACGACATTCGCGCTGAAACTCGTAGCAGAATGACGACGGCTGCCACATTTTCCCGCCAAAATGACGCTGGTTCACGCGCAAGCACTACTTAGTATTGAGAAAATCTCGTACTCGTAGTCGTACTCGTCTTACAATCTAAAGGTCTCTCTATTAGACTTTATTTAGGCATCGAAACTGTTTTCTGTCGTCTGTTGCAACGGTTTCCAACGATGGACCGTGGATTGAAACTTGAAAAAGTTGGGCCAAGTTTTTCAATTTTAATGCTATGCCCATTGTGAGAATTGTTACAATAATCACCTCTGGAAAAATGCATTTATCTTTTATCAAATTCTCTTTACTTATTCTTTTTGGAAATGTATAAGAAAATTTGTATGTGGATATTGAGGGTTAAAGGATTAAAGGGCTGTGTCACGGATGTCTGGTTCATTTGTTGATATTACCAATGGCGCGTCCTTATTCGCAATGGAAGTAAATTTAGCAAAGTAGTTTTAAGGGTAGTTTCCACTGTCACGCAATTTATACGTGCTTACGCGTGTAGAATTTACGTGCGTAAATAAAATAGAAGCGATGTGCGAGAGGCTGCGTGTTAACGTTAAGGTTGAGCGGGGTTCAACTTTCTTTCTTTTACTCTTTGTGTCTGTGAAAGACAAGTGCTTCTGTCTAAAGGCGTAAAAACTATTTTCCAGATCCTGGCGTTTGGTACCTGTTCAAAGTATCCACGGAAACTAAAGTCGGCTGGTCTCCAGAAAGATCTCTATGGGTCCAAATCCCGCCAGGACCCCCCTCCGGTCCTCCCCTTGAAGTACGAGCTTCTGCCCAGTCATCGACAAGAGTTCGGGTCACGTGGAAGGAACCTGACGAGTGGAAGAGAAACGGACCCCTTGCTGGTTACTCCGTCGTTTACAATCCCCTCAATCGTAGAGTGAAAGCCTTGGTGAAAAATATCACAAACCCAAATCATACACGCACGACGTTAACGGACTTAAAGATGTTTACAGATTATGAGATTCGCGTTCGAGCCCTCGGAGTCAAGGGCCCTGGTCCTTTGAGCCGGTCTGTTGTAATCAAGACCAAAGAAGGGTGTAAGTATGGGATCAATGGAGATGTCTGGGTGAAATGACCACCTACCCCTCCCTTAAGTCAACATTAACACTCAGTTCTCACTTAGAGCAAAATTGTGACTTAGGGGAGTGGTAGGTGGTTAGTTACCCAAGTATCTTGTATGCTTAATGAGAAATGTCCTGTAGCGTCTTTGATATGATTCGTTTCTTTTCCTTTTCCTTTTCTAATACAGACGTCTTTTTTGATGTCCCGTAAATTGCAGGTGATTTTATTAGCGCCACTGTTTCTGTTGAGTATTTGTTAAAAGTAGACGTAAACTTAGGGCGTAATTGTAACAAAAGGCGGTTTAATGTAAGCTCACGACAGTCACGTGACATGTCACACATCTCATTTCGGTGTCATGCAGAAAAGGTTGCGTGACATCGGACTGACGATTGTGAAGCTGGCTCCCTTCTTTCTAAAAAAATGCAAGCCGTAACGCTGCCTGTATTCCTTTCAGTGCCCGGTCCGCCCCGTGATCTTGCTGCTGAAGGCCGTAGCACCGACTCTTTGACTGTCTCATGGAATTCGCCCAAGTTTCCCAATGGTAGAGTACTGGGTTACTACGTTGTGTACTCCGACGATCAAAGCCTTCCAGTTTCACAGTGGAGTGGCACAGAACCTTCTGGCTCTAGTGTCAAAATAAAGGCCCTTGAACGCGACAAGACCTACTGGATTCGCGTGGCTGCTCGAACTTCCAAGGGCCAAGGCAATTATTCACTACCAGTCTCAGCAAAGACCCTTAAATATGACTGTAAGTAAACAACCCGGGGGTACTCCGGGGAAATCTTGGAGGGGGTGTGCCGCCCGTGTTTTAAATCCTGACCTTATTTCAGAGCAAAACATGTCATTTTCCAAACCCGTTATCAGACCTGACCTCTAAGAAATTATGTCATCATTACTAAGTTTACAACGCCAACAAAAAGCTTTCTTAAAATTCTATCTCGAATTTGTGTATTACTCTTTATTTCTTATTCATTTGGGATTGAAACAACAAATACTTTTATACACTCCGGTAGTTCCCTCAAAAACCACACCAGATTCCAGACGAAAATGAGCAAAGTTTACAACCTTTTTCACACAGAAATGGCACAAAAACCATATCCTTTGGGGCGGCACATACCCTATATGGCTTACATAAGTGAGTACCCCTCGGGGTCAAAATTTCACTTTATTTGAGAGTTCTGTAGCGTTTAACTTACATTTTGAGACTTCCAAAACTTTTAGGCGCAGTGTTGGTAGCACTCGCCTGTCACCAATGTGGCCTGGTTTCGAGTCCCAGAGTCATTTTGCAAAGAGTATTACCTCTGCTGTCATCAGTCGGTTAATGATCTTATGCCTGATTTTCTTTTTAGTACCCGAATCTGTCCGTGAACTCAACGTCGATTCTGCTGATAGTGATAAGGTCACCATTAATTGGCAACCACCAGAGACAGACGCAGGAATAACAAAGTACAAGGTAATGCATTCAATACAACCAATCATAGAACGCTTTCACGTAACTAGGGCCAAACACCGGAAACGCGTACGAACAATAAATTCAAGACAGGTTCTGATTTTAATTCCGTTTGGTTTAGAAAGTGTGGCGTGATTTTTTTAGGCCAATGACAAAGCGGAAACAAGCAAAGCAGCAGTATCGCGAAATTTTTTAGATACCTTACTCATAATAACAATTTACACTAGAAAGATCTTTAACATGAAACTACGGCTGAAAGGCATTGTGAACCTTAAAACAATAAGGATTTTATCCAGACTCAAAAATCCACGTTGTAAAGCCTAATAAACTAGCACACATACAGAAAATTACCCCCCCCTCCCGCCTCCCGCGCGCTTTCACTTGATTGGTAACACCACAGGAGTACATCCACAGACCCAAAAATTAGACCGGTCTTGTAGAGGATAACTAACGCAGAAACAAAGAAACTTAATGGTATTAAACATTTTACCTTTTATTTCCTAGCAACAGTTGTCCTATAGCAAGACCTGTTTTTGTGATTATTTGCAGATTTTGTATTCCGGCTCGAAATCCTACAAAGATCAAGGAGAACTCAAGAAGCTCTCGCACATTAACAATATCTCAGTAGACGCCTTATCGCCTGGCGTCCAGTCCTACACACTGCAAGATCTTGTTCCTCACACGAGTTACAAAATAGAGTTGTCGGCTCTTAACTCCATGGGAGAAGGACCTAGCATAAAGATGAATGTCAAAACAGATAAGGGAAAGCCACCACCTCTGCAAAGACCCGTCATTGTCGAAGACGATCTCTCGGATGAGTTCATCCCCATAGAGCTGGAGATTGCCTCAGAGAAAAACGGCCCGATCAGGTAACTTGATAGATTCTTGCGTTCATTTTTTTTAAACAACTTTATCATTAAATGTAGGTTAGCTGCCTGAAGTATCGAGAGGCTTCCACTTTCGGCAGGCAGCCCCTAAATTGAGGCTGGCACAGAAGCGCAACGCAGCTAAGAGCCCCCCACACAAAGGGAAACGAACAGGCACCCGTCACACTGAAAAAAATCAGTGCCTGGGTTTGGGGAAGGAAGGGGGGGCGGATGGGAACAAAAAAATGGCTGGAAGAACCTCGAGGCGTGGACATCATAGAACGAAGGGAGTTCTATACGCAAATGAATCATATGATCTATGTAGGGAGGATGAAAGGGGAATACGTAAGAAGAGAAGTGCCAATACTAACTCTTTTCAAACCCTTATTCAATTCACCAGTCTCCTCTCTCTTTCTGAAAAGCAGAGGCGAGAAGATGGGAACTGGTGTCGTCTTTCCAGGATCCTGTCATGTTTATGCCTTTAAAGTAGACGTTCCTAGGGGGCAGAGCCAAAAGAAAGTCAAGTCATATTCATGACCATTCTCCCTCCCTGGTCTTGCAGTGTTATAATTCTTTCGTGCCAAAGAATATTGCAGTTCAAAGCATGAAATCGATCCTTCTTAGTAAACAGCTTTTGTTCTTGTGCAACGTGGTAAAAACAAGTCCAGAAACGAAATATAATATTTCAAGGGAAAAAAAATCTTCACTGCTTTTCTTTAGACTCCCTTCTCTTTGAAGGAACGCACCGATAAATATTACCTCCTATTTTACACCTTGTGTTCTTCTACACACAGTTACTACATAGTGATCGTGGTACCGCTGGGCAACAGTAATAAACTTCCAACAGACAAGACACCTGACGACTTTTTCAATGAAGTCAGACGCCGGCGAGAGCTTCAAAGTGGTGCCGAGGCTCCATACATCGCCGCCAAATTTGGTCCGTCTGAGTTGCCGAAGAGATTTAACGTGGGGGATAAGAACTTTAAGAACCGTTATGGATATTACAACAAGGAGCTCACCAAAGGCTCTTACTATACTATGTTTGAGAGAGCTTATGTCAAAAATAACAAAGGGGTAGGTAGACTGTACGTTCGCCAGTCTCCTTTGGGATTATGCGTTTCTGAGAAACTGCCAACCTACCCCTCCCCTAAGCCAAAATTTTGCCGTTTCGGGTCTTCTTGTCCTATTATATTACAAGTAGGGTAAAGAGGGAGGACTCGCCTTCCCCCATTTTGGTTTGGTTTCTGGTTCCGGAGGTCACAGAAAATGTGGTGTGCGTTTGATGCTGTTTCTCTTCCTTTCTCGGAGAAGTTTTTCCAGACACTTTAGTTTTCTCCTTTCAAACACTCCGAAATTTCAATTCGCGAATATTGCCAACGAGTTCTTGAGAGCTACTTGGGGCCTCTTTACATGGAGGTGGGCGACCCCGGGTAGGTGAGGTAGTCCGCGGCGGGTCACCCCACCTATCATTTAAACGTGATCAAATTAAAATGAGAGATTATATGGACAGGCGGTTTACCCTAACTAAACGGGTTTCTTCACCTACCTGGGGTCCCCCACCTCCATATAAACAGGCCCTAAGTGTCTCAAGGGTAAACAAATAACATATATTGATATCATTGCATCACGTGGCATTTACTTTATGTTACATTATTACTTTTCATTACATCACGTTACTATTTTACGTTACGCTACGTTACATTATGGATTCAACTGCGCCTGCCATTGAGGCAAACAGATAACATTACACTGCACCACGCCCCATCCCACGCACTCCATTCCATTCCGTTTAATACGTCATGTTACATTACGTTACGCTACGTTACGTTTTTCGATCCACTCGCGTATGCCTTTGATTCTGTAACATATTGCAGCGTATGTGTGTCACGCATACTTGTAAAGTAGTCTTTACTAAGAAAAGCGCATTTTACAGCATTTTGATTTTTTTCCTCTCTGTTTTATAGGATGACTTGTATACTTCAAGTCCCTTCGTGACGCCTGTGAAATTTGGTGAGAATTGTTCATTGAAATTGATCATTAAGCAACTATTTGGCGATGAAACGTCGCGTGTAGAAAAGAAGCTTCTAATACTTTGATTAATCTGTTGCAATAATTTCTGACAAAGCACTGTCTGCTTTCTCTTTAAAATTTTATTGGGAAGCAGCAAATTTACAATAATCTAGCGTCTCCACTTGTTCAATTTTTATAATCATGAAAGGTTTTCAAGAGAGTGCGCTATGTGAGAAGTGTAAGCTAGAGGAGAGTTTGATAGTTTGCTGTCTTACGAAAGTCGTTTTAGTTTAATAGCTTAACTGTAAAAAAGGACAATGTCAGTACCAAGTAATGTAGTCTGATCCAGACTCCCAGATAGCAGTGCAGTAAAAGTGTTGCGAAAAACGCGCGAGGACTGGGGAGAGAGCGAGGGCGCCATCTTGGGCGTCTTATTTCTGCTTGTCCAGTTTTATTTTCACTTTGTCCCTAGCTCATCCTCGGAGACCCAGGGGCAGATAGTGGGGACGAGGGAAAGTCTAAACGGGCGGAAAAATATGACACGAAGAAAAGTAAAGAACGGCGAGAAGAGCCCCTGGGGACAATGTCTTACCAGACCAGTTCCAACGGTCGCCGCCGTTCTGGCTTCTGATTGGTGCCAGAAAAACACAAGTTTTCTGGCACCAATCAGAAGCCAGAATGGCGGCGACCGTTGGAACTGGTCTGGTAAGACATAGTCCCCAGGGGCTCTTCTCGCCGTTCTTTACTTTTCTTCGTGCCATATTTTTCCGCCCGTTTAGACTTTCCCTCGCCCCCTTTATCTGCCCCTGGGTCTCCGAGGATGTCCCTAGCTACTATTTAAGAGCCTGGCACAGGCTATAACTATAGTATTATTGCCCAATACCAGGAGAACAAGCTGGAGGTGGAGGGAACCCGGCGGCTAGAAAAGAACCCGAACCACATACTGGAGGAGGATTTAACCTGATTTTTGTCATCATACCTGTCGTGGCAGCCTTTGTGATTACGGCTATCGTGGTTTTTGTTGTTGTATATTGTAGAAGGTAATGTTTCTGATCGATTGATTGATTGATTGATTGAACGATCCATTCATTCATTCATTCATTCATTCTTTCATTTATTCATCAATCCATTCATTCATTTATTCAATTATCTTTTAATGATGACGACAGGCAGCCAAATAACACAATGAGAGAGTTCTTGTTAAGGAATGTATCACTGCTTCTAGTCGGTTTATCTTCAAAATCATCTATCTGTTGTAGCTCCAAGATCGCGGGACTAGAAAATGTGGAAAACGAGAATTAAGTTGGTTTTTTTGCCCCGTCCCAATTTCCACTCCTTTAAAGCCCCGATTTCTACGAAAGCGCTCAAGGGGATTAATTACGCTATAACTCTCGATAACTCTGTTAAAGGACATATAGAGTTTTCAGCAGTTCTCAGATTCTTCGGTTTTGAAACGGCGACGCACTGATAGATTTGTGAATTTTGCTTTCAATTTTAGAAAAAGACGAGATAATAATAAAACGAAGAAGAACGTGGACGAAGAGAAATCAGAACCTTCCGACCCTGTGGAATTAAAGAGAATGACTTTCTCAACTCCAGGTACTTGAATGAATAAACATACGCATTATCCACGGACACTTTCTATGGTGCTGATCGGGAGAATTGTGAAACAAGTCCTTTTTTCACTTACTGATGATTTCCTTGTTTCTCACGACCTCTGTGTTTGATCAAGCAGTGTTACTGTAAGGAAAAATTAACTGTTGGTCAGTCTTATTGGAATGAAAGAGTTGATACGTTTCGTGATTGCCTGCAATTTCGCGCCAAAAAAAGCCACTTGTCACCAGCCATCTTGCATTTTCCTGCGCTTAACAGTGCTATAAGCTAAGAGGCACCCTTAACGTTTGAATCCCATCATTTTCAGAGCTGTGTGAATGGTAAATCCAACCAAACATCTATTTTTCCACTTACAGGCATGAAAGACCATCCACCAATACCCGTAGCTGACCTCCAGGAGCGAATTGACGAGTTAAAGGCTGATCACAATAACAAATTCTCTCAGGAATACGAGGTATATATCAAGCTATTTGACGACTAAGTGCTCTTCAACTGCACAGGTCATAACGAAGCTCAATTTTTCTTTTTCAGTCTATCGAGCCTGGAGAGACTTTCACGTCTGAGGCCTCTCTTCAGGAATACAACAGACCCAAGAACCGATATTCCAACATTCTCGCATGTAAGTGGATATTTTTATAAACTGCAAGACTCTCTAAATAGACCAATGAAGACTTGCTTGAGTCACGATTGGTTGTACGACGTATTTCTAGGCGAAATGTTAGTCGCTACTGATTGGCCGATGGCTGAGTTATTGTCTGTCGGACCGCCAGACCGAATACTAAGACGTCTGTCTGACAGACAGCTTAATCCTCTCACTTACTAACTGATGGACTGTTTAGCATCCTAAGTAATCTTAACAACAGACAACATCTCTCTCCAACGATCTGATGAGCTCTCTAACTTGCTTATCTCGTGAGAACCCGTGGCTTACAATGCTTTATTTAAAATTCCCTGACTGCGAAGTACTTGGACGAACGGGGATCTCTAAACGGTGATTCAAATAGCAGGATAATTGTACTATTTTTTAGACCTCTCGCTTTTTTTCTTTAGTTGACCATTCTCGTGTACGCTTGGCAACCATTGATGGCATCCCAGGAACGGATTATATTAACGCTAATTATTGTGACGTAAGTAAATCAATGGAAAAAAGCTTGTCAGTTGCAATATCTTAACAAAGTTATATTTCCAGACCATGCATGTAGAATTATTTTCGATGTTCTAACTCTTAATCCCATATTGTTGTTTCTTTACTGTAGGGTTATCGAAAGGAAAACGCTTACATCGCGACCCAAGGTAATTTAACCCGTTACAATGTGTCTTAAACATTTCCCCTCAAGTTATGTATTGAACACATGTAGTTCACTCGAAACTGTTGAGCCTCTGAACAAAATCCTACAGTGGTAAATCTCTTTAAACAGACTGAAATACGGCGGTATTAAAGTATTTTGAATTTACACAATTAAGTGTGGCGAACATCTGTTGACCAAATATATTATGCACTATTTCTGCTTAGGCCCGCTTGAGGAAACGATAGAAGATTTTTGGCGAATGATCTGGGAATTGAAAACTTTTACAATTGTCATGCTTACAGATCTAGAGGAAAGAGGAAGGGTAAGATTGAATGGCTATCGCTGTTTGCCTCTTTAATAATTATAATAATAGTTTTCTTTCTTATAACGCGCAAATTCGCATATTTGTATGATCAAATGCGCGTTACAGAGATATAAAAAATACATATGATAAAAGAAAAATTAAGTAAAACTAATCTAGAAATATTAAGACTTTCTAAAAACTATCTAAAAGAAATTTAAAATATTAAAACCATCGAAAAAACTATTCAAAATACATAGGCTGATATAAACAAAAAAGTCTATTAAGAAGGCTTTAAAATGGGTAAAAATCTTTTCGTGTCTCAGGCGACGGGGAAGGGCATTAAAAGGAGATGGCGCGATCACTGCAAATGACCTGTCACCCTGTGTTTTATTTTTGATACCCCCAAAGTGATATTTCCTTATTGCAAATTGAAGACAATGGCAAAAAGTGTCATGCGTCTACCAGATGGACTGCACTCTTAAGTGAAAGGCATAAAAAGTGTTGACCTTATTCCTGTCAACATTTCAGGTAAAATGTGAACAATATTGGCCCAACGAAGGTACAGAATTATACGGTGATATTGAGGTCGCAGTTACGGACTGGGTAGAATTCGCTAACTACTCCATAACAACTCTTGAAGTATGCAAGGTAAGCTGCTTTTGATTAGCAAATAAATGTATCGGAATGACAGCTTCTTTTTGGCCCCTCTCTTTGCGTAGTTCAGTGGCTCAGTGGTTTACGGTCATCTCGCCACCAAGAGGTCTACTCGTCACCACAAAGTAACTCTGCAATAATTGACACAGTTAATTACCTATAGGAATTTTTATTTATTATTAGTTAAGGATCCTTAAAAATCTGGCATATATCTCGTGTATATATCAGAAAATCGTTTTCTGTTGCCTTAATATATTTCTTGGTGGCATTTTCGTCGTTGACGAGGTTACCGGATACCCGCACAGTGCCACCTGCTGCCATGATGCCGAAGGTGGAGACCACGAATTGGACAATAAACGCGTGCTGAAATTTCGTCATATAAATGGTTAAGAGTGCAAAGCAATGTCAAGACTTTTTATCATCGCAGTGGCGATACACTCATTCTAACATCTCAAAATGGTTCTTAAATTATTCAACAGGAAGGCGCCCCACAGCCTAGAGAAGTCAAGCACTTTCAGTTCACTGGCTGGCCTGATCATGGGGTCCCTCCCCACCCTACACCCTTCCTAGCCTTCCTCAGGAGAGTGCGCTTCTACAATCCTACTGATGCAGGTCCTATCGTGGTACACTGTAGGTAAGGATCCGAGGGAACATATCGGGGGTGGGGGGGAGTACTGCCTATAATGACCTACACACGGAGGCTCTGCCCGAAATGGTACCATTTTTAAGCTTCAGGTATATGAAAGGGTAGGAATTTCACAAGTTGAAGTATATGAAAGGGTAGGGAAATCTATTATTTTGTTTCGTAAAAAGGGCCAAAAAGGCTCATTTTAACAGTACATTTACAGCAGTTTAAAGGGATGTAGCGGGTCTGCAATAAGTTTTTCGGGATGCGGGATTTCCCTTATTTGAGGCTCGGGATTCGGGATTTTTAAGCGAAATCGGGGCGAGATTGTGGATTGAAAGTATGCGCGGGAGGCGGGGTGCCAGAAATAACCCTCGGGATTACGGGATTGCCGGAAATTTTGGGTCGGGGTTACGGGATTGAAAAACCCTATTGGGGACCCGCGCCTAGGTATGTGAAAGAGGTACCTCTTCTGTCAAAAATGGTATATAAAAGGGTAAGAGGTCGGACCTCGGGGCAGAGCCTCCCCGTATAAAGCTTTGTTGAGTACCCCTCCCCCCCCCCCTACCATGGGGGTTGAGATTTTGTTCATATCGTTTGGATCTACCTATAAGTACTAAATATTCCAAGCACTCGCTTTTGTTATCATTTCCGCCCTTCAGATTAAATTTTTATCATTAACAAAGCGTCTTTTTTTTCCTAGTGGCGGTGTTGGTCGCACAGCGTGTTTCATCGTTATCGACTCCATGTTGGAGAGAGTTAAGCATGAGAATACAGTAGACATCTATGGACACGTGACTGTGTTAAGAACGCAACGTAACTTCATGGTACAAACAGGGGTAAGTGCCAATTGTACGATGTCAGTATAACTGGCCGAAGATTAATCGACCGAAAGAATTACAGCAAGGCCGAGTTACAACAGAAGCTCGGATCCCACTCGAAGGACTGGGGTGTATACTTTTTGAGAACACGCGAAAAAACTTACAGTCAACTCTCGTTCTGGGATCTTAAGGTCTCTATTGTCGTCCTTAATCACATTCCTTATGTAAATATTCATTTTTTTTCTGTTTGTTTTGTTAACATCAGGAGCAATACGTATTCATTCACGACGCCCTTCTTGAAGCTGTTACCTGTGGTAACACAGAAGTACACGCAAGAAACCTTCTACATCACATAAAAAAGCTGCGAGAGCGAAATGAACAAGGAATTTTAGGTCTCGCCGAGGAGTTCAGAAAGCTTAGCAACCCACACCAAGCCCGCCGGTTGAAGCAGGGCACGGGAAGTCTGCCAATGAACCGATCAAAGAACAGGCTGGCTAATATTCTGCCATGTAAGAATCTCTGAGTGCAATAAAGTGCAACATTAACTTACTTAGGGAAGGTTCTAGTGGGATATGGGGGTGGGGTGGGGGAAGGTCTTAGTTTCCTTGCACCATCCCTCCCATACCCTTTCTTACCCCACGTTTGTCTTCTCCTGAGTAACAACCTTTATATATCAGGTAAATCCCCGCCCCTGCCCTCCCCCCAATCAAAATTTTAGAAACTTTCCCTTCTCGCCTATAGAAGATGTCTTGTTGCTTTGTTCTGCCCTTCTTGAATTGTCATCCAACATTTTGATTTCACAGCCATGTTGATTATGGACAACTGTTTCACTCATATTTACTGTGTTCCTCTACTTTCCTCCTCTAGACGAATCAACGAGAGTCCAGTTATTATCCGCACGCGGAATTGAAGGTTCCGATTACATCAATGCCAGTTTTATTGATGTAAGTACACCAAGATCAATGTTGTAACCACCTAGACCAATATTGTAAACACCTAGACCAATGTTGTAACCACCTAGACCAATATTGTAACAACCTAGACCAGTGTTGTAATTACGAAAGTCCTTATATGCCTGTTGGATGCGTTGCTGGTTCTTAATCTTACTTCGTTTTCTTTCCTTCAGGGCTATCGCCAGCGCCTTGCTTACATTGCTACTCAGGGGCCTCTAGAAGAAACAGTAGACGATTTCTGGAGAATGTTGATGGAGCATAACTCCAACATCGTTGTTATGTTGACTCAACTTAAGGAAGGAGACCGGGTAAGTGTAATAATCAAATGAAACAACTAATTGTCCTGTATGTGGCATCGCAAAAAAATCTCTCTTTTTTACACCTGAATCATATCTGCCTACAGGTAAGCTCTTTTCGCAGATACTAAGCCTCCAACCATAAGATGTTAGTTTACTTGCAAGCTTAATTTTATTCATTAGCGCAAAGTTACCGTTACATTCATTTCGTATTTTGAAAGAGTGCCTGAACCTTGTACCTTCCTGATTGACCTTGACGCCTTCATCCTTCATAGTGACGTTAATTTTTCATTTACGTTTTTGCTTTTAGGAACGCTGCTACAAGTACTGGCCTACCGACAGATCAGCCAAACATCAGTATTTTATAGTCGATCCTGTTTCGGAACAAGAATTTCCAACATTTGTAATCAGAGACTTCAAAGTCAAAGATGCTATGGTAGGTGAATTTATTGACGTAGAACGTTTACAGGAGGGAAAGTGAAACGTGAAAATTAAATCGTTTTTATCGATACGTGCTAAATATCGCATATCAGTAAGTCTACGAAGATTTAAAGTCACTGACAGTGGTCAGTGTAACCCCATGTCGAATTTTCAACTTAAACCTTGATCCAGCTCGAAGGACCACTGATTCCTCCAGATACCAATGATGTTCTTTCGTTTTGTTCTGTTTGTTAGAATGGTACAGTTCGAAACATCAAACAGTTCCATTTCTTCGGCTGGACTGACAGCGGCGTTGCAAACAGCGGGGAGGGAATATTAGATTTGATCGGCCAAGTGCAAAGAGCTTACGAACAGCAAGATGAGGAGGGTCCAATCACGGTACATTGCAGGTATGTCCCTAAAATAACGAAGCCAGACACTAATTAGCCTCACACGCAGTCGTTCCTAGGACTTGGTCACGCGTTCCTGCCGTCGTGGGGTAGGACGCGTGGCTAAACCTAAGAACGTCTGCGTGGGAGGCTGGACACTGATGAAAATGCAAGAAACTTGCGTTTTCTTATAGTTTTGAGCAAGCAAAGACTTCTAATGTAACTCACCTTTCTCTCTTTCGTGATTCGCTCTTCCTGCTGAGCAAACGGCCTGGCTATACAGTGATATACGACACTTCTTAGACGTCTAACTGTTTTCGAACATGCATGACATGCTGCAACACTTGAATATACTGTTTAGTAGCTCTTAAAAACCAACCTTCAAAAGTCAAATGCTAAAGCAAGGACCTTCTTGACTCTGGGAAATTTTCGGTAGCCTTTGTAAACGAACCTAACAGGAAATGCAGTAGTCAAATTGCAAATCTTGAAAGTCTTTGTTTTCATTGATTTACCCCTTGATTATATTTTAGTGATGGCGTTGGGAGAACAGGGGTATTCATCGCCCTGTGCATTGTGCTAGAACGCATGCGTTCTGAAGGAGTAGTAGATTTGTTCCAGACCGTCAAACTTCTTAGAACACAGAGACCAAGCATGGTGCAAAATCAGGTATGTCTGCTTTGGCGGTACGTCGTATTTTGTTCGTTAACGTAAGCATAGAACTATTTCAGTTCAGTCGCAAAAGAAATTTCGCGATAATTGGCAAACAGAATTTTGCGCCAATCTCTCAAACAATCGCGAGCTAAAGCCTATTGTGACTGTGTGATCTTCCCACGCCTTAAGGGTTCACTACAAGTGTTCGCCTCAACATCTGACTTGCTCGTTGGATCGACTGCCTGAAGCGACTACTTTTATAGTTTAGGATTTTGTTACACCCCGTTGCTTTGCATACGGGGAAGTTTTATCCCTCTGTGATTTCAGTCTCTAAACTGCGAAACTTACAAATTTTTGATAGTTATCTCTTTTTCTTTCCTTTTTCTCTCCAGGATCAATATTTATTCTGCTATCAAAAGGCTCTGGAATACCTCAGTTCGTTCGACCATTACGCAGTGTGAGGAGCCTTCATAATCACGAAAACCAAAATTTATAGCGTCGAAAAATGTGTGGGTTCGATATAAATCACTTTGCATAACGAGTGTGCCCATGACTTTGCTCACTTTATTTATTGGCTGTACCATTCGTGAGAAGGAAATTCTAGTAACGGCTGCCCTTGCCAGTATTGGCCATCGTTGGCAGACCATGGTGTGGTCCAGTGCAGTGAATCACTTGGCTACGAAAGACTTCAGTGGACAACTGAAAATTCGTGGCAGATTTCAGGCCAGGGGCCTCCAGTAGAAATTATTTATTGCTAGCATGTAAATGACTGGCTCAGAATTATATACAGACATTTTGGCTCTTGTTGGAGAAATGCAATGCAAAAAGGTTAGATAAACAAGCCGATTTATACATTAGCCGAAATATGGCGTGAAATAATATTGCGTGGGATAGAAGATATTTACACAGGTGTTTTGATTTTTTGTAAAAGAAGTGCACAGGTAAATAGGTGGAAAGTAGGGAAATAGAGTAACTCGTTAGCCTGAGAAAACAACCGACATTTGGCAACACCACTGGTTTCCCCGCGAAATGGCACCCGTGAAGAAATTCACGCAGAAATTCCATACTGATGACACGTCACTACCCAGATCTGGGTAATGCTTCTGATTGGTTGTGCCGTGAGGGAAATTTACTTCAACCAATCGTCATCAGTATGGAATTTCTGAGCTCGTTTCTCAGACGTCTTTTCGCTGGGAAACCAGTGGGGGCGTCGCCAAATGTCGGCTGTTTTCTCAGGCTAAGTAATTCGTCTACCAAAGTATGGCGTATGGTATATTTTTGCGTGGGATAAGAGAGTAATATCAAACCTCATTGCGTCATATGAGACGAGATCTTTGAGAGATTTTAAGTCACGTTTACGGCGAACTGTGAAAGTCAGATTCAGTTGAGAATTTCTCAAAAAAGTAAATGAGCAGATAAAAACAGTCCAAGACAGTTCTGATGGATAAAACTAGTGAATCTACTCATTTTTGTGTCGAAGTACTAAGCAGTAAAAGAAAAATGTAAGGAAGACTTGGTCACGTGGTACAAAATTCACGTTTACCGTAAACTTGACTGCAAATCTCTCTGTTAAGAATACAACCACTTTGAATGTTAAGATTTCTTCCAAAATTGTTGCGCCTTCGTTTTGAACGAGGCGAAAGATTTTCCGAGGAGTTTGACATTCACACTTTGGCAACAGCATGATCTTAGCTGGAGAAAATGTGATCGTTTTTCCCAAAAAAAAAACGGAAAGGAAAAAAGAAAAAAGAACCGAATAACCTTTTACAGAACTGCCGTTTTAAACGCAAATCGTGAAAGAGTGTTTCCGGGGATTATCAGTAATTTTTATTTTTTCCTCGGCAGTAACTTTTACGTAGTTAACTAGCAAAGGAAGTGTCTGGCAGATACATCTCCATAGAATAAGGGGATCGATTGCTTTAGCATGTGCTATAAAACTTTGCCGGTAATTTGTCTGTCAGATTCTATAAAGGGATTTGATTCTTTTAAAATTTTTAGTTTAAGATTCTTAACGTTTGATACCAGTATGTTTTGGTAACAAATTTTACCTTATGTTTTTTGGGCGTTTTACTTAACGTACTTTTAGAAAGGGCTTAGAGCGGTGTTGAATTGAGTGTCTAATCTTCAATCAAATTGTAACGCAAATTCTTGTTGCCGTCGCCGAGTGCGAGAAAACCATTTATATAACTTCTGATTCGTTGATAATGTGACACGAGAACCAATCAGGAACGTAGAAATGCTAAACTACAGTTATCGGGAGAGAACTTCTGGAACACAACTCAATCTAACTCAATACTGCTTTAGACAGTCAATTATAGAGTGTATCACTCTGCTCAATAACTTCCGTGGCCTCAAGAGGTCCACATTCATGCGTGATAATGCTTCAAGACAAAACCAAGCCTTTCATATTCAAACATCCACCTTTGATTTTGGAAGTCGGTGATGCAGGTTTCGTTTCTGACGACACGACCGTTGCCGATTGCCGATTTATCGAAGTTGTTTCGGTGAAACAGCGAACTGCTGGGTAGTTAACGAGTTTAAAATGGTTCTACAACGGCAAAGAAAAGCTACCTGGATCACTGCACAACCTTTAATGGCTTCAGAAAAATGACCTTGCAAGCACCTTTAAAATTCGAAATTAAAGGAGCTACTCAATTATGGTAGCAGGTCTCCTCACAAAACGATGTATAAAGGTGCTTTTCAGATCATCATGAGATGACATTGAATTTTATCCTCATTTGTAGAATTAAATTGAAATTTATAGTTGACAGATGTATTATACCGTATCGTTTTTCATGTACATATGATTTATAGATGAAAAGATTGAACTATATTTTTATAATAATTAATCATTATATATGTAAATGTGCTTGTGAATTTGTTTTTTAGCATTACAGACATCAAATTCAGGAACAAAAAAAATAAAATAAAAACCATTAACAAAGAAGTGTAATGTTTAATTCACGTGACCATCTCCTTAGTAAGGGGTACAGGAAGAGTCCCCCCCTCAAAAAAGGAAATAAACAACAAATTTGCGTAGAGGGCGGGAAGGCTGGCTTGCTCTCTGAGCATGATCTTGAATGGCGCGGAAATAAGTGCAGACAACTTATTCTCTTGATACTAAATCTGGAGAGACAAAAAGCTCTTTTATCCCCTCTATTTGAGATACTTTTACACCCCAGTGCGGTCAATGAGACACAACGGTCTAGACCAGTAATACAGCACATTCTTCTGGTATTTTTAAATATTTTTCTTTATTGATATGTAGTATATTAGACCCATAAAGATTTAAGGACAATAGCAAGCATGTAAGAAAGCAAAAGGCACCTTCAAAGTAAATCAGTTCCAGATATTCTTAATTACACAATGCTCGGCTCCGTTTAAGAATTCAAAGTTGTCTTTCTGGGCCCAGCATCATACAACATCAGACATCTCCATACCGGCACATGAACTACCTCCCTCATGGTGCTTGTACGGCGGACAATCCTTTTGGTCACATATTCGCCCTCCTGCTCACAGCCCGTGTCAAAATGGAACCTTCCCGGGCCGACAGGTTCCTCACCGCTAAAGGTCCCTGAGTATGAGTAATTAGGGGTCACAATTGTTCCTTCGTCTTCAAACCTCCCGTTGGTCCAGTTACCTGGAAAATGCAAGAAAAAGGACAACTTTTCAGTGTTGTGTAGTGATTGAAACAGGAAGACGGGTCTCGTATCTTTTTGAGGCTGGCGGCAGCATTTTTTCTTTTACTCACAAGCCCATGTCATTATATTCATTAGTTTCCTAACTGTTACGAGCAAGTGATATTTTATAGTAATTTGTTTTTATTATACGATTCTTCTTCTTCTTCTTCTTCTTCTTCTTCTTCTTCTTCTGCTTCTGCTTCTGCTTCTGCTTCTTCTTCTGCTTCTTCTTCTTCTGCTTCTGCTTCTTCTTCTTCTTCTTCTTCTTCTTCTTCTTCTTCTTCTTCTTCTTCTTCTTCTTCTTCTTCTTCTTCTTCTTCTTCTTCTTCTTCTTCTTCTTCTTCTTCTTCTTCTTCTGCTTCTGCTTCTTCTTCTTCTTCTTCTTCTTGCCATCATCATAATCGTTATTATCATCAGCCCATGTCATTATATTCATTAGTTTCCTAACTGTTATGAGCAAGTGATATTTTATAGTAATTTGTTTTTATTATACGATTCTTCTTCTTCTTCTTCTGCTTCTGCTTCTGCCTCTTCTTCTTCTTCTTCTTCTTCTTCTTCTTCTTCTTCTTCTTCTTCTGCTTCTTCTTCTCCTTATTATCATCATCGTTATTATCATCATCATCATCATCATTATCATCATCGTTATCATCATTACTGTCACCATAACCCCACTCGTGTTATTCATAGAACGTTCGGGGTTCCCAAGTGATATTTTATAGTAGTTGTTTACATTATGCGATTCCTTTTCTTCTTTTTCTTCTTCTTCTTCTTCTTGTTCTTTTTCCTCTTGTCATCATCATCATCATCATCATCATCATCATCATTACTGTCACCATAACCTCACTCGTGTTATTTATAGAGCGTTCGGGATTCTCTAAATCAAGGCATTCATCAAGTTAGCTCCAAACTTAACTTGCAGGGGACTTACCTTTGTATTTAAGCCTGTGGTCCTTGTAGATGTATTCCCCTTGCCCATGTCGCCGATCGTCTTTCCACATCCCTAGGTACTTATCTTCATTAGCATATATGTATACACCATAACCATTCCTCTGTCCCTCGGTCCAGTCTCCATCATACACTGACCCATCAGGGTACCAGAATGTTCCTTGACCATGTCTTTGATTGTTGACATATTGTCCCTCGTACCTAAGAAATAAACTAGAAAATTATACGTTTATCGCAACTCCTCGCGAGGCTGTGATGGAGGGATGCACTATGAATAAACTGAAACCAGCCAATAGGTAAAATATGGTCTAAAAAAAGCAACAACAACAATAACAGCAAAGAATACAAAAACAAAACGGCCAAAAAGAAAAGAAAGAACATTTCCTTCAGCGGGAAATTTTGATGTTCATTGAGCGATTATGCAAAAAGCATAGAGCACTGCTTTACTTTGGTAGAAATTTAAGGGCGAAATCAACAAGAATTTTTGGACTTGAGAAAACACGTGCTGTAGAAAAGTGCCCCCAGAGAACTGTGTTTTCTGTAATTTAATTGGTTAGTTATTTGGTTTGAAAGCGCGTTTGAATATAAAACAAACTCGCAGCAAAACCAAGCCAAATAACATGTCGGTGAACTATAGTTATGCCAATTTTGTGAAATTCAAGTATAGTGCACATCTACAGTTCCAGCGTAAGCTTGGATAAACGGTCTTCATGATGTAGCGATTCAAGAAGAATTGCATATCCACAGGTGAGAACCGTACAAGAAAAGAAATTGCTGGACAGATCTCTAGATGTAACCGCAAGGAGACGTAATGGAAATTCAAGTTTTTTTTACGCAATTTCAAACTGGTAAGAGTTGTTTATGATTTTTTCTACATACAGTAGAACCCCGGGAACTCGAACTCTGAAGGGAAACGAAAAACAGTTCAATGCAAGTTAGCGAGGTTTCGAGTTATCGGGAACGATTGCAAAATTCAATTTGCCATGTTAAACTTGATAGATACTGATATTTAAGCACTTCAGTGTATCAGTAGTCAAGTGTAAATTTTCAATAGGAGAAAAGCAGATATTACACTCCATCTTTTGTGATCTAGTTTTATCCTTGCTTCAAATTATATATACACATATACTTTTCTCTGTTTCAGACCTGGCTAGTACTTTCGTTTGCTTTTAATGATCGCTATAGAAGAATTGTCAAACCCAAAATATTCCCCATAATGTTCACTTGCCGCGTTGTTTGTATAGGTAATAGCATGATTCATTTTTGTAGTGATATTTGGCAAAAATACCACGAGTGATATATCAAAATTGTTATACGTAATTTCACGAGCCGATGAGGGAGTGAAATTTGAGACAATTTTGAAATATTACGAGTGGTATTTATGCCAAATATCACGTCCAAATCATGCCTTTATTTTTTCTTTTCTACTTCCCGCAAAAGGTTTGTAATTTTCACATGTAAGTACCTCAAATTAAGCAGAAATACCACGGCTCAAAGCCAATCAAATTGCAGAAATTTCTCACGCATCATTATAAATAAGTTTATTACCTTGCCTGTTTACTGAAAAACACGTATTTCCCCCTGCCATGTCTCTTTCCATTTACATATTCACCTTCATATTCATCGCCGTTTGGTAGCAAAGCGTGACCAAACCCATGGCGTTCATATTTCTCGTTTCTATGTCCTTCATATGTACCAATGTACATGCGAATACCTGCTCCATCTTCACTGTCTCTGTCTAAGCTTTCAAAAGAAGTCATGTTGAGAGATGCTTTGAATTCTTTTGACTTTTGTTTTTTTTTCGTTAAATCGTGTTTTCTGCTCTCCTGAGAGGCACCGTATGCTCTAAATTTTCCTTCTGTGGAAACTTTTTCGCACAATACAGTACAGGTTTCCGTCGTTACCTCACAGAGAGCCCTGCATTCTATTCAGCAAGCGCGCGCAGAAGAATCAAACGTTCTACTGCACCGTTTTATCTAAATTTTATCTAAAGCAAATCTGGCACTTTGTTGCTTTGAAAACAGCGAGGTGAAACAGGTTGTGGTGTTCAGTGAGTGTTCAGCAAAAATTGGACGAACATATTTGAACTCAGATTGAAAACGTTGTGGGTGAGTAACCAGCACAAAAAAGGACTGGTTTCCTGAGAGGACCAATCATCAACTCAGTCGTTATATATCACAAAACACCCGGGTCTTGATATAGACTTTTGTGATGTACGGTCCCTTGATACTGTACATGTTGGCGAGAAGCAATAAGATGTCCCGTGACCCCTAAGTAAAACCGGTGAGAGAGCGCGCGCTAGGGAAAAAATTCCAGCTCAGTAAAGAAATCTGTATGTTTGACGATATATTGAGAAAAGTTTCTAGCAGTATTCTCAGTTAAGGGCTCGACATAGTTTCGAATCCCAGGGGATTCTTTTCCGGAAAATTACCCCTTTTAGGAGAAGTAAGCTAAGACAAATCAAGAATTGGAAAACTGAGGAGACTGGGGTTGACAATGCACTCTTTTCTGTGTTACATGAAGTACGTACCAAAATAACATGGCGGACAAGGACGTCGCAAGTCTTGTAAATCGAGTGGTAATGCCAGGCGATGTCATCGGCAAAGTGGCAGATTTAGAAGCAACTATTGAAGGAAAAATTAAAATCAAGTTTGGGCCTGGGTTGCGAGAGGAGAACGGCGTGATTTTAGCATACAAGGCAGGAGTTTTAAGACATCGAAAACCGGCCACCTATTTGATTGACTGCAATCAAAGGAGGGTAAGACTCGTGTTGCACATGGCACATGATATAGATTTAGAAGGTGCTGAATTTTTGAAACGATTGTCGTGTAAAAGATATGCTTGTTGATCTGAGAGCTTTAAGGGTGAGTAACTTTTTCTCTTGCTTTTTACTTAGTATGTCCCAGTGAAGGAAGAACGTGTCATTGGCATCGTGACCAACAGAGGCTCTGACAGTTACAAAGTTGATATTGGAGGAGCTATGCCTGCATCGCTGCCTAGTCTGTCATTTGAAGGAGCAACCAAGAAAAACAAACCTAACATTCAGGTAAAATCATTTTTAATGCTTCCATTTGAAATATTCAGGGTTGTCACTAGAATTTCAAATTTCCAGATATGTGCAATTAGTCGGTGGGGAACTAAAATGCCAGGGAGTT